AGACAGTCCTGAGCCACATGCAAGACCCTGTCTCAAAAACAACAACAAAAAAGCAAACCATCCCAAAGTATAGACAGTTTAGCTGGTCCTAACTCTTTTCTGTTGTGTTGTATTATTTTATTGTTTTTGTTTGTTTGTTTGTTTGTTTGTTTGAGACAGGGTCTCACAATATAGCTTGGAACTCACTTTGCCCCCCCTGCGCCTGTCTCCTGCATGCTGGGATTACAGGCATGTGCCACCACGTCCACCTTTAACTATTTAATGGAGGCCCGTGTGAGGACTTGAGCCAGGGTGTGTTTATGTCATTTCAGGAGTTAGTAACATTCGGGGATGTGTCTGTAAACTTCACTCAAGAAGAATGGAAATGGCTGAACGATGCTCAGAGAGACTTGTACAGGAAGGTGACCCTGGAGAACTATAGGAGCCTAGTGTCGCTGGGTAAGGAGGTCTCCATAGAATTCCAATGCCACACACAGGGCTGGCTGTGTTCTGCAAAGTGTCTCTGGGGTGCCTCTGAGTTGCTTTACTAAATTTCCCCTTTTTATTAAAAGTTTTAAAATTACATATATTGGTGTGTGTGTGTGTGTGTGTGTGTGTGTGTGTGTGTGTGTGTGTGTGTGTGTATCATGGTAATATAGTGTGTGTGTGTGTGTGTGTGTGTACCTGAGTGTGTGTGTGTGTGTGTGTACCTGAGTGTGTGTGTGTATACGTGCGTGTGTGTGTGTGTGTGTGTACCTGTGTGTGTGTGTGTGTACGTGTGTGTGTGTGTGTGTGTGTCTGTGTGTGTGTGTGTGTGTGTGTACCTGTGTGTGTGTGTGTGTGTACTTGGGTGTGTGTGTGTGTGTAGTGTGTGTGTGTGTGTGTGTGTGTGTGTGTGTGTACCTGTGTGTGTACCTGTGTGTGTGTGTGTACCTGTGTGTGTATGTGTACCTGTGTGTGTGTGTGTGTGCACCTGGGTGTGTACCTGTGTGTGTGTGTACCTGGGTGTGTGTGTGTACCTGGGTGTGTGTGTGTGTGTGTGTGCACCTGGGTGTGTACCTGTGTGTGTGTGTACCTGGGTGTGTGTGTGTGTGTGTGTGCACCTGGGTGTGTACCTGTGTGTGTGTGTACCTGGGTGTGTGTGTGTGTGTGTGTGTGTGTGTGTGTGTCTGTGTGTGTGTGTGTGTGTGTGTGTGTGTGTGTCTGTGTGTGTGTGTGTGTGTGTGTGTGTGTGTGTCTGTGTGTGTGTGTGTGTGTGTGTGTGTGTGTGTGTGTGTACCTGGGTGTGTGTGTGTGTGAATGTGGGTAATATCCTGTGTGTGTGTGTGTGTGTGTGTACCTGGGTGTGTGTGGTGTGTGTGTGTGTGTGTGTACCTGTGTGTGTGTGTGTGTGTGTACCTGGGTGTGTGTGTTGGGGAGTGCTGTGCACATGCCCCCGTGTGCGTGTGAGGGTCCGAGGACGACTCTGTGGAGTCAGTTCTCTTCTCTCCACCTTTACAGGGTTCCATGAGTGGAACTTAGGTCATCAGGGTTACACAGCAAGCCCTTCTGCCACCGAGCCGTTTTATTGGCCCAGCATCTCTCTATTAAAAGCCCCTGTAGTAGGACGTGCCGGTGGTTCCATGAGTTCAGAGGGCCGCTGTAGCAGTCAGGGTTCTCTAGAGGACCTGAGAGCTGATAGGATGAGTGTACATATGTACATCTGTGTGTATATGTACATAATGTATATAATATATACATGCACATGGGATTTATTAGAATGGCTCACAGGCTGTGGTCTAGCTAGTCCAACAATGGCCGTCTCATCTCCTAACAGAAGGTCCAAGACTCCAGTAGCTGTTTCATCCATGAGGCTGGGTGTCTCAGCTGGTCTTCGGTATACACCACAATCTCACCGTAGGCTCTAATTCCAGTGAAGCCGTGGACTTGCCAGCAAGATCTAGAGCAAGCAGGCAAAGTGAGCGAGTCTCCTGCCTCAGCGCCCTTCATATGGGCTGTCAGGACTAAAGGTGGACCTTCCCACTTCAAATGCTCTCATTAAGAAAACACTCCCTCTCAGGTGTACCCAGCCACTT